AAGGAAAAAGAAAGAGCACCTGTTGGGTTCGATTCAACCCTGGTGCTAGGTTCCTTTGAATTGATTGTTTAATTGTTTCATTGAATTGATTGTTTAATTGTTTCATTGAATTGATTGTCTAAATGAAGGGAGATTCAAGAAAGAGGATGTTGGAGGAAGAAGATAATGGCAAAATTGTAATTTGGTGGGTCCCACTTTTTTGGTGTTGTGTATGAATATGACCTGTCATGTTGCCACATCATCATTTATCCATCTGTACAACTTACGTGTCTCAAATTTTTTACATATCTGTGAGTTAACGGTGCATTTTTAACAAAAGAACCAAGTTGGGGTAAAATTGGTAAACAATAAAGATCAAATCAAGGATTTTTTTGGTTCAAAAACCAAATCAGAGATCTGTACAATAGTTCAGAAACCAAAATGAGGTTTTAACCTAACAAATATGAATGGCTACATACACATACGCATGTATGAAAATAATGTATATTAATATTGATTTCAATTAAAAAATTAGAGTAATAATTTTGAAAATAGCACAATCTAATATATTTTTAAAAATTAGCAATTGAATCTAATATTCTATTGATATAGATTATTTATGTTAATTTTCAAGTTAATTTAATATTTATAATTATTTGATTAAGAAACTTATATTTTTTAACATATATTTAATTGTATTAAGTTTTTTATAATTAATAAACTAATTAGATATATTCATAATGAGTCAATATAAAAATTAAAATGTATGATCTATATAAATAAAATATTAGATTTAATTATTAATTTTTAAAAATATTTATTAAAAAACAATATTTTGAAATTTTAAATTCTAGTTCTTAACAAGGGAGTTGTAACCAATATGTAAAATTCTCATTTTATATACACACACTATCTCTTCTCAAGTTTAAATAATATCTATCCGTATAGATCAAATTCCCACAAATATCATTCGTATATACTTTTGGCTGCTTTTTGCTGATGCTCTGCCCTTTAGAATCTTGCGTGGGGCTCCTCATTGGGTCCAACTAGGGGTGGACAAATGGTTAATTAACCAAATAGTTAACAAAAACCGATTAAAAAATAATTAAATTGTAAGATTCATTTGGTTTTTGATTTTTTTTTTTTTTTTTTTGATTTTGACTATAACTGAACAAAATTCGGTTAGTTATTAGTTAGGGATTTGAAAACCAAAAATCGAATATATAATTGAAAAATAAATTTTTATATGTAATAAACAAATAATTATTATTTAAATATTATAAATATATATACAACTCATCCTCTTCAATCACTTTTTTAAATATTACTCTATAATTTTTCTTATAATTTAAGTTTTGAATTTAAAATATATTTAAAAGTTTTAAAAAATAAAAAATTCATATCTTACTTTCATTTATTTATTATTTTTTAATCTTATTTTTATATTTGATAATTATTGATTCAAACCAAAACCAAACTTATAATAACTGAAAATTTGGTTAAGTACTGAACTGAAAAATACTATGTATTTTGATATTAGTTTTGGTTTTAAAAATTTTAACTAAAAATTTGTAATTAATCAAATCATAATTTTATTAAAGCCAAAACCTAGTTTTGCCCACCCCTATGTCAACTCCATGAAGCATGCAGTAAAGACGAAAATTAGATTCAGAGAGCCAGCACACCAATAGCTAATATTTGTAATAAGGTTAAATTTTTTATTTACTCCATTACAAAAACATGTGGATACTGGGTGATTCTAGATCTAAGAAACTCCAGACTAAACCTCCCCAAAGTTCCGGCCTTAATTTTTTGGTGCTCGGAAGCCCTTTGGGTTCACGAGTTTTTGGTGCTTGGAAGCCCTTTGGCTTCTTAAGTATGGTGGACTCAGCCTTCATGCTCCTTTGTCTATTGACCACCTTAAGTGGTCTATCGGCTTCTTTTGTGACCCCTTCGGTGGTCTTTTTCTTTTTACTTACTGTTTCTCGTTTTCTTGTTTGTTTTGTTCAAATCAGGTGACTAACAAAACAATAAAGTAGAAATTAGGGGTTGGTCACTGCTTGCTTTGATCTTCTTGCCACGGCATCCTGGACAATGGGTTCATCTTTAAGAGTAGATTGAAGGATGTCTAGTTTTCTGAAATGATCGACCAAAGAATTTGTAAAAATTAGGTTCCTTAAAGGTTGTTCATATGATTATTCACTGTACTTCTTTATATTTATCCCTTGTTGAACTTGATTTTCTTCTGGTTGTTATCTCCAGTTGTGCTTTCTTTGTTCTATCATTTGTTTTATCGCTAAAATAAGAATTTTTTATGTAGGTGCCCTATGGCTTTGATTTAATTATATGAGTTCAGTTGAGTTCAAAAAAAAAAAAAAATCTAAGAAACTCCACAAACCAAAGCATCCTTATATTATTAGATTATTATAGTAATATGTACTCAAAAACATAAATAAAAAATATTAGATTATTAAAATAGAGGAAGGAAGAGACTCACTAAAAAAAGTGTTTCTCATACCTCTCGAGTGAAGATAATATTATAATTTATATCAGCTAAACAATATTGTTTTCAAGAATCAAATTGAAAAAAATAAAAATTTAAGAATTAAAATGTTATCCAAACTGACATTTTTCTTGGTCAATTCGGACTAATTTCTCTTTTTCTCATTAAGACACTAGGTTATGAGTGAGCACCAAGTCACTCAATTAATTTGTTTTATCATATACTTATGAATATTTTATAGAAAAAGATACATTTACGTTGCAAACTCACACACTTAGTCACATATCACTAGTCTACTTAAAAAAATATAATTTTTCTTACATATTCGCCTTTCCCTCGCTTGTCTAAATTCCATTCAAATTGAGAAAATCTCCAAACTTATTATTAACAACAATGGTTCCTTTAATACTAGAAAACACTGACGCAAAACAAGAGTCCCACTCATTGTTGCCTCCATGAGAGCAAGATGGAGTCCATGGGATTTGAGCGCCAGATTCATGAAAACATGAATCACATTGTAAAGGCTTTGAGTTAAGAAGGATTCATATATAGATCCCAAAACAAGAGTCTCACTCATTGTTGCCTCCATGAGACAATGAGACTAAGATGGAATCCATGGGGTCTGAGTGCTTGATTTACAGGAACATCAATCACATTGTAAAGGCTTTGAATTGAGAAGGATTCATATATAGATCCCAAAACTAGAACATGAGAACCTATCTCCTTGTACTACTACTCCTATGGCCCAGATCTAGCGACAATCTAAGCACACATTGGGGTCTCTTTTCACGATTTTGGAGAAAGCTATAAAAGGTAGGAAATGCTCTTTGTTAAATTGCTATAAACTCAATATATTTGGAAACACAAATAAAACGATGAAGCATGAATAGTAGCGAGTTTAAGATATTTCATATTTAATTTTAAAATTATAGAATATAAATTTTTTAAATAGTGTGTGGCTGAGGGTGACAAACTGAGTACACACCAATTAACATTCATAATTTATATGTATTTTTTTTATAAAAAAAAAAGTTTAACTACTCAAAATTGTAGGGTTATGAGTCTTTAAACCAACTATGTTAAGCTCTTGTTGATCACATATTCTTTTTTTGAAAATTGAGTAATGTATGTATATAGCTCTCTTACATTGTCTAAAGGAAATTTATCTCGAATTGTGCATAAAATTAATCCAAAATTTTAATTTAACTATTCAAATAAAAAAATGATATTTTTTATCCAATAAATAATTAGTGATCTCACCACCGTCTCCTATAAATGAAGTCATCAATTAATGTTTGAAAAATAACTTACCTTCAGTGGATGAAATAGTTTGTATCTCATGCATGCATCATGTACACATCTAAAAATGATGTTACCTCTCATATTTACCAACATTATTTTCCACTTACCAAGTTAAATCATAAGATCAACAAACCCTTGGAAATGGTTATGGCCACTTAATTTTTAAATTATTGTATTTTAAAATATTAATTTTATGTAGTTTGATTGTAAAAGTATAATTAATAACTCGCAAAAGATTTTTTTTACTATGTACCATAAAGATGTTATTAATGCTCTTTTTAGTCATTAAGTCATATAGGAAAACAAAAGTTGACATTGAATTTAGTACCCATGTCACATGTATTAATTTAGTTGATTAATTAATAACATTCAAGTCAAAATATTTTTACATAATTTAATAGTTAAAAAATATATTAATTATATTATTGACTTCTATTTTAATGATATAGGTTAAAAAAATTCATTTTTAAATTCCACAACTAACTATCTATGAAAAAAAAAATCAATTTTTATATAATTTAAATTTTTTAATATGTAATCATAACCACACTCCAAACTCTTGGTCTTATTATTTTCCTTTTCAAACCCAAGAAACAAGAAAAAAGTGTAACTGAGGAAAATGAACAATCACAACTATCAACCAATAGTCAAACAAACATCCCCAATATCACAAAATCAGTCACGTGAATCACAGAATTAATCACGTCAATTAAGCAACGGGCAGACATATATTCAAAATCTCTTCCATGAAGGAAAGAAATTAGACTGCAACGGTGCCTTTGAAAATCAAGAATCTACTAACTTGAATTTTAAGCTTGATTTTTGAATCTTGTTTAAACACTTGTATCAAATGTGAATATAATATGATAATAAGTACATATATGTTGTTATGACATTATATTCTTGTTTTTTCATTTAAACTTCTTCCAAAAGAAACTACAAGGTTTGAACGAGCTAGAATAACTTTTTTCTGAAGGAACACATATGTCTTTGTTTAAAAGAAAGACAGCCAAAAGCATGATTTGTACCCGTCACGTGTGTCTCCCTCTAGCAAACCATCTGATCTCTTTCAATATTATTATATATCTGCTTTACCCTTTTTCACTCAAAAAAAAAAAAAAAAAACCATTTTTTGGGTTATAGGTGACTATTAATTATTACCACCTATTGTTTTATTTCAACTATAAAAACCCATAAGGTCCTCTAGCTCATGGCACAACACACATTCATTTCAAGTTTCAACCCCATCCTCTCCTTCCCCTAGGATATCTTACCCAACCGGAGTAGCATCAATCACCATGGTTTCTGAGAAAGGCCAGTCGAGAAACGTGTGTGTGATCGGGGCAGGACCGTCGGGGTTGGTGGCGGCAAGAGAGCTTAGGAAAGAGGGTCACAATGTGGTGGTGATGGAGCAAAGCCATGATGTAGGTGGACAATGGTTGTATGAGCCTAATGTGGAGAGTGAGGATCCCTTAGGAAGGGACAAGGTCCTAAAAGTTCATAGTAGCGTATACGCCTCTCTAAGGCTAACCTCTCCTAGGGAGATCATGGGGTACACTGATTTCCCATTTTTGATCAAGAAAGGTAGGGACATGAGGAGATTTCCAGGGCATAGAGAACTTTGGCTTTATTTGAGGGATTTTTGTGATTGGTTTGGGTTGAGGGAGATGATAAGGTTCAATACTAGGGTTGAATATGTAGGGATGTTGAATTATGGAGAGTTTGGAAAAGATTTGAAATGGATTGTTAGGAACAAAGGGAAGAATTCCGAGAAGGAAGTAGAAGAGATCTTTGATGCTGTTGTTGTAGCCACAGGTCACTACTCTCATCCTAGGTTGCCTTCCATCAAAGGTATGATATGTCTCTCATTTCATTTTTCTTCTTGTTTGTATCATACATGAGATGAGTTTGCTATACAGCTCGAGATTTTCTTTTCCTTTCTCAAATCTCTTTTTGTCAGCATTAAGTTTATAGAAAAGTCTCGTGCTCAAACATTGGCTTGATATTGTCCTTAGGGATGGATGCATGGAAAAGGAAACAAATGCATAGTCATGTTTACAGGGTCCCAGAGCCCTTTCGCAATGAGGTACTTAACCTATACATATAGCTAGCAATATTTCTCCTTTGTTTAATGTCTCTCTTAACTAATGAAAACAAGTAGTTGAATCCAAGTATTTGTTACCATCATATATAGGACCGTACAAAATGATAAAGTTTCATTATTTTTATAGGTTGTAGTGGTAGTTGGAAATTCATTGAGTGGACAGGACATATCAATGGAGCTTGTAGAAGTGGCAAAGGAAATTCACCTCAGTGCCAAATCCCTTAATATAACTGAGGGTTTATCTAAAGTGATCTCCAAGCATGAAAACTTGCGCCTTCATCCACAGGTATATTTTAATTTGTATTTTCCACCCCATTGAACCCCTTTGCCATTATCTATATTATTTTGAAAATTCTAATGATTCAAGGTGTAACTTTTTCAGATAGACTGCCTTTATGAAGATGGAAAGGTTCTGTTTGTAGATGGCTCTTGGGTCATGGCTGACACAATACTCTACTGCACGGGGTAATTTACTAATTAATCCTAAGTCTCAGATTGATTAAGTAATCTACCAATCACATAAATAATAAGAGTATTAATTTCGTCTTGTGAAGGTTTAATAATGGTTTTAGTCATCCAAAATGTAGGGTTTAGATACGAAAACTAGATTAGTTCCTTAATTAATTCTAAGATGTCAAGTTTATTTCACTCACTGGCATGTTGGCAGCTAACTAGGCAATTTAGTGGTCTACATGATCATAAAGGGTCCTTGATAATTGGATGATTATGATTTGTGGAACGGTAGATTCATGTTTATGGGACCCAAAGCCCTAATCTTTTTCAGTTCAAAGGTAATTAATTATACTTAATTATGTTTTGTGTACACGTATGTAGGTATTCATATACTTTTCCCTTTCTTGACACCAAAGGAATAGTAGTTGTTGATGATGACAGAGTGGGACCTCTGTATGAGCACACTTTTCCTCCATCTCTGGCTCCTTCCCTCTCCTTTATAGGCATTCCCAGAAAGGTACAGGATCTTCTAATCCCTTTTTCGGTACTTATCCCAAAATCTTTAGTTTTTTTGACTACCCTTTAATTTGGGGAGAAAAAGTCATACAATTTCAGCCTTCAGCTTGACTTTTTGACCGGATTGATTGATTGATTCTATGGTGCTGCAGATAATAGGGTTTCCTTTCTTTGAGTCACAAGCAAGATGGATAGCTCAGTTGCTTTCTGGGAAAAGAACCTTGCCATCATGGGATGAAATGATGCAATCCATCGGGGAATTTTATCAATCAAGGGATCTTGCTGGCATTCCTAAACATAATACCCATGAAATTGCAAATTTTGAGGTAAAACAACGAAAGATCATCTAATATTTTATGGATACCTTATAAGCTATCCAATAGACGTTCAGGGAATAGCCTTTGCCGTTTGTCTCAATGTTCGAACATGTTACTCAACATGGAGGCTTAAGCTCTTATTTACTATTCTTGTTTTTGCTTAAAGTATTGTGATTCGTATGCGGATCAAATCGGGTTCCCACGTTTAGAAGAATGGAGAAAACAGCTGTGTATATCGGCCTTGGTGAATGCTGATGTCAATCTGGAGACTTACAAGGATTCATGGGAGGATGATGAGCTGCTGCAAGAGGCCCTTCAAAGTCCTCATTTGACTCAGCTTGGGTAAGAAGCTTTGGCACTATAAAGAACAAAGGCTCAATGCTTTTCGGTTTGGTACTTTGGACCAAAAGTACTTTCTCAATATTTAAGAAAGAAAAGAAGGTGACAAAAAGGAGAGATATGGAAACATTCAATAATAATTTGTCCTGCTAAGGCAGCGGCAGTTGGACATCTTTCTTGCTACTGAAAGCAAGAATTTTACTTTGGTCTTTGCTTTCAAAAGCAAGATAAGTGCTTTATAAAAGATAACTGAAGAATTTTCTTTTCTTTGGTCATTCAATGTCCCCGGTTTTCCTTTTCAATGCAAAGACTTCTTTTTACTCATTTTTTTTCCTTTTTCACTGTTATACATTTCAGCCTAATTTTTCTTCATGATGTATGATGATGGACTTCGGTTATAAAAAAGGAAATAGTTACATTTTTTTTCTCAAATTCCTTTCTACTTGAATTAAGATTCAAACCTAAAACCTCTAAGTCCTTAATGAGTTAAGCTACCTCTCTAGGGGTACATTTAGGCCTAAATTAAGATCTATTTCATACCATTTCTTGGAATGACGATACCCATACCATGACTAGAACTTGAATTATTGTGAATTTTAACAAAGGAAAATGAAATACCAGGGTGTTTGCTTGTTACTTGAGTGGACTTTTGAAGATAGAAAATTTTCTCAAGGCACTAACAAATTTATGGCCCAACCCTGTTAAAGGGAACAAATTTCACAACCAGAGCCTTGCTGTATCATCATGCTTTCATCACATGGCAAAAACTTAGAGGGAAATTATACATATGTATATAGAGAGAGACCAAGATGAATGCATCCAACAGATCACAAAAAGACATCTCCAGGAATTAAGAATCTCAAATGGGTGATCTTCATTTCTCCTTCATAATATCTTCTAGGTTTAGAGAGGACGTACCTTTTTCTGGCCAAAAGAAAGGATGTACACAACCACCAATCCTGACAATTACAAAAAAACCCTATGCAAAAACCCTATGCCATAGAAACCCCTTCCATTTAATCTATTTTCCTATATAATGTGATTCCAAGCCAATATTTTAGCAGGAAT